ACTGTGCTACTCATCCCTTTTTCACTTCAGCTGATATATGGAGATGCTCAATGCATATTATTTTATTTTTTGAATAGAAAAAGATTACTGTTATATCCAGGAATGTAAGTTTATAGGGTAATCTTTCAAATAGAATAGAAAGAGGGTAAAACTTCCAAACAAACAAATGTGGTAGTGGAGAATGGAATACTAAAAAGTAGGATGAGGAAGGAATGAAATATAGCCAGTGGAGAGAAATAAAATTACAAAATAAGGTGGTAATTTAAATTCAGACTTCCAGTAATTGCATTAAATGCAAATGGCCTGAACTCCTAGTTAAGAGAAGGGTTGTCAGCATAGATTAAACAGAAAACCAACAGAGGTTGTTTGTATGAGACACATCTGAAATAATTAGGCCAATACTGTTTAATATTTATTCATTTTTAATTGCTTTATTTTATTTATGCTGTTACAGATGCCCCATTTTTTCCCTTTTGCCCTCCTCCACCCAGCTCGCCCCCCCACTTCCATAGTCAATCCTCACACGGTTGTACATGTCCATGGGTCGGTCCTTCATGTACTTACTTTGACTAATCCCCTCACCTTCTTTCATTCAGTCCCGACTTTGCCCCTCACCCCTTACAGTTGTCAGTCTGTTCCATAATTCCATGCCTCTGGTTCTATTTTGCTCACTAGTTTATTTTGTTCATTAGATTCCTCTCATAAGTGAGATTATCTGATATTTGTTTTTCACTGACTGGCTTATTTCACTCAACATAATAGTATCCAGTTCCATCCATGATGTTGCAAAAGGCAGGAATTCCTTTTTTCTGCTGCATAGTATTCCATTTTGTAAATGTACCACAGTTTTTTGATCCATTCATCTGGTAATGGGAACTTATGCCGTTTGCAAATCTTGACTATTGTAAATAGCACTGCTGTGAACACAGGGGTGCATAATTTTTTTGAATTGCTGTTTTGGGATTCTTAGGGTATATTCCCAGCAGTGGAATCACTGAGTCATAAGGCAGTTCCATTTTTAATTTTTTGAAGACATTCCATACATACTGTTTTCCACAGTGGCCGCACCAATCTTCATTCCCGCCAACAGTGCACAAGGGTTCCCTTTTCTCCACATCCTTGCCAGCACTTGTTGTTTTTTGATTTGTTAATGACAACCATTTTGGCAGGTGTGAGATGGTATCTCACTGGGGTTTTAATTTGCATCTCTCTGATGGCTAGTGATGTTGAGCATCTTTTCATATGTCTATTTATATATTAAAAGTTTGTTCTAGAATTTCAGTATTTTCTGTTTGTGAATATATATTTCTGTTTTTAGCCTTGTGAGATCCTGAGCAGGAAGCCTCTAGAACCTTGCCTAGTTTCCTACTTTCAGAACCGTGAGATGACAGATTCATATGGTGTAAGCTGCTAATTTCATGGCAATTTGTTAGGCAGCAATAGAAAATTAATACAGGTCTCTTCCCACAATGAATTGGTGCTGGCCTATATAACCCGAGAGTATAGATGGAGTGACAGAGTGTGACTTTGAGGATAACCTCACACAGCATCACACCAACCCTGTGAGAAGGCAGCGTGGAAAGGAACTAGACTCTTCTCCCAACAGCCAGCACCATCTTCCAGGCATATGAGGGAGCCACCTGGCAAGTGCCTTGTCCAGCCCCAAACAAGTCTCAGGTACCTGTAGCTCTTGCTGACCTCTGATTGCAAACTCACGGGAGGCCCTTGGCCAGAACCACCTAGCCAAGCAACCCCTGAGTTCACGATCACAGAAACAATAAGAGATCATAAATTATTTTTGTCTTATCCACTAAATTTTGGGGTATCTTTAATGCAGGATTAAGTAACTAATATATAGGCCTATTGTGTGCTAGGCACTATACTACATGTTAGAAACACAGCAATGACTAAGGCCAAGTGCCTACCGAGTTTATATTCTACTTTAGGGAGTGGGTATAAACTATATAAATAGTTAAATAAATACTTTGTCAGGTGGTGATATGTGCTGAGAGAAAAATAAATCAGAGTAAGAAAGCCAAAAAGCGATGCTGAAGTTTTTATAAGACAGCCAGGGAATGTTGCTTTGACAAGTAGAAATTTGAATAGTGACCTGAATGAGGAAGGACCAAGCCGTGCATATTCTGGGGAAGAACATTCTAGCAGAGGGTGTTTCAAGTGCAAAGACCATGAGGTGGGAGCGTCTTCAGTGAGTATGAAGAATTGCCCAAGATGTGGAGAGTTCTTTGTCTAGTTTTAACTGATATACTTCTAGAATGTTTGGGATGAGAGCTACCAGATTAAATGCAGAATTCACAGTTAAATTTGAATTTCAGATGAACAACAATTTATTTTTAAGTGTAAGCATGTACCAAATATTACATGGGAAATATTTACTAAACTTATCAGCTGTTTAACTAGGAGTCTTGAATTTTTATTTGCCATACCTGGCAACCCTATTTGGAGCAAAAGAAAAGCTGAAGACAAGTAGTTAAAATGATTGCAGTAATGGAAAACACGTCTTTTGGAGGAATGATGGAGGAGGTCACGTGTGTGTTCTGAAACAGAGAAGGCTGAGGGGATGCTCCCCGCCCCACCCCCAAATCAGGGCAACACCGTGTTATAGAAAATGTACAGGACTTGGGTGAGGACAGCTTTCTTCAGACGTTTTGCAGGCCTTGTAAACTAAAACCCACCGAATGTATAATGTCTTTGGACAAACTTCTCCACATGCAGAGTGAGGGGGCAGTGCCAGATAACATCTGCAATCCCTGGTTCCAATGCTCTTCGAGTCAATGAAGGGTTAGAAACTGCACACTAACTGGTTGTTTTTCCATCTCCACAGAGAGTAGAGCAAGAGTTGATGAGTCTTGCAATGAGAGAATTGATTAAATGTGAGGGGGAACTTAACTGAAGGGTGAATGAACACGGGAATGGCTCTGCATGCGAGGCTGTAGAATCTTGCTCCCTCATGATCTTCTAGAAGAGTCTGCAGCTGTTGCGGGGAACAGACCCACAGGGAGCCGTCTTGGCGCTGAGGACTGAACCAAGGGAACCCTTGAGGGCCCGATCCTGGGAATGACTCCATTTTCATCTGGAAAACTGGAGGGAAATGAGCCTTCGCTGCTGTTGGGAGTTGGTACTGGTTCTTTTAGACTGGCACTATGTTGCTGTAGCCCCAAAACAGGCTTTCAAGGTGTCTTCTTTCTACCCGAATCTGGGTTACTTAGAAAAACATGAGGTTTCCTGAGTCCTACCCAGACCTACTGAATGTGGAAGAAGGGACCCCATATATGATTTTTAATGAGTTCACAAAGCAGTTTGAGTGCATAACACAGTTTGAGAGTCCTGGTCATTGACAGATGAGAGGCTTTCTTTCTCTGACTAGGAGTTGACCTTTAATGACCTATATGGTCTTAGGGTGCTGACTGAGGCCTCTGTCTAAGCTTATTGCATGGAGGGACATGTGAATGCTGCAAACGGAGCTGGAGGGAAATGCTGGGGATTTAAGGAGGCCTTTGGTCAGGAGGTTCTAGGCTGGCAGGAGTGGAGGAGAGGGAAAGAAATGAAGTTTACAGGAACCTGACTTTTGCCTAAACTCCCATTATCATAAAAACTATGTCCTGAAACCATTTCTCTTCCTCTTTGTTTTATCTTTTTGAAATTTTCTACCAAAATTTTTTAAAAAGTTGAACAGTACCTTTATTAAGCTGAAAAGAAGAATTTTTTCTATTCCACGGGCAGGATAGACTGGGGACCCAGGATATCCAAAAGGCACCCAGCATCCCTACTGTGCTGTGTTTCAAGAGTTGTGAAAATCCTCAATGAGGAAGAACTGTGAGGAAAAGGACTAATAGGTAGATCATTCCAGATAAGCCCTTCCAGGTCACTGGAGATTCTGCTGGAGCAGGTCCCTCCAGCCACCAGTGTGGGATACACCTTGGCTCTGAGTCACTCGTGGAATCCTCCACAGCCTTCTGCCAAGCTCTGAGTCTTTCGTCCCTCTCCCCCTCTTGTTGTTTACACGTATCTCTGTTTCAAGTTCAGCTCTCTTCAGATGACCTCCTGCTGGTGGATGGCCCTGCCATTACTAAGGCGTTCCCGCCTCAGACACCTCTTACCTTCCCCGACTCTTCTGCCTTCTTTCTGGGTTGATGCCGGACAGCTGACTAACTTCCCTGGACTTTGCCTCCTCTGCCTTAGATGAGAACCCTGACCTTGTCCATGTGTGGCAGGTGACCTGGGGGCAGCGGACTCGCCTGCATGCTGCAGACTGTGAGCTATGAAACATGCCAGAGTCTACTGTGCGAGCACCTGGACAAGCCATCCTAGCCCACACGGAGTGAGCTCGCCCCTCAGCCCAGGTCCATGAAGCTCAGCCCAGAGTGAGCTGCAGCCGGTCTTGGCTTATGGTGATTCCAAACTGATTCTGACTTCCTTCCAGTGGATTCAGGCAAAAGAAAACTTTCCCCTTTCACAGCAGCTTGGTTTGATTGGGGTTATTTGATGACAAAAGCCCAGAGGCCAAGCAATTATTTAGAAATATTAGGGATCAGCAGCACGAATGAGATTGAGTTTTTGTGAAAAGTTAAAAGATTTCTCATTTAGGGAGGGTGTTCACAAAAAGACCCCATTAGCCAAGCCTCACCAGTAATTAGTCTGATTTCTCAGACAAGAGGCAGGCTAATTGTCTCCCATCCATCCCGGAGGGCCTAGAGACACTTTAAAACCTCCCACCCATTGAAAAATATCTTTGGAGAATTTCCTGCCTGGTCTAAAGTCTTTCTATTAACTAAACGTTCAACCTGAGATCAATATATGAAAATACGAACAAAGTACTTTCGTCTAAACTGCCTCCCATAGATCGGATTGTTAGTTGGCCTCTATAGCATCCGCCTCCCCAGTGCAGGGTCCAGGCTGGGGCCAAGTGTTGCCTTTCCTCGTCATATCTTTTTATCTTCCTTTAATCTGTTTTTTATGACATTGATGTCTCATCTCCCCACACACCTTTTTTTACTTTCATGAATTTGCTTGTCATCTTTGCGCCGAGGGAAAATGCCGATCCTCTTTGTATTGTTCCAATTTTAGTGCACGTGTTGCCAACTCCAGCGCTGCAAGCCACTTTGTTTTAATGGCGTGTTCCTCATTGTGTGTTTTCCTGTATTTCTTCATGGTTGGATTGCAGTTATGCAGTCTCAGCCCAAATACTGCCCAGGTGATGAAGGTTCTATCCAGAGCTTTGCATCTGGAGCCACACGATGTCATTGAACAGATGTTCTGCATAGATAGGGTTAATTTTGACCATCCAGTTAAGGTGCTATACAATTTCTCCCTTGTGTGGTTGCTGGGTTTGTTCCTCCCTTGCCACTAATAAGCAATATGAGGGGAGTTGACTTGAAGACTATGCAACCAATAATCTGAACAGCAACGAAGAGCACTTTTCCTATGCCAAGCACTGCAAGTTACTGACGTGGCCTCTTTCCATCCTAGAGAGGCTCTTTCCATTTCACATGCCCTCAGCCTGTCTTCTCTTGGCTCAAAGCCGTCTCTCGGGTACACCGTATCAGGAGTGGGATCAGATCTGGTTGTTAATGCTGTGATAGGAAGCTGCGGCTGAAACTGGAGCAAAGAAAGAGAGAAAAGAAGGAATGCTAATGAGGGGGGTCCCACTGAGAGAGGGAAATGGCCTCTGGAAGCCTGGCTTAGCTGAAGAAAAGGGAGAAGCAGAATGGAGGGGCTGGGAGATTAGGGAAGTTGCGGCCACTGACTCACTCTAGTTTGACCTGTGAAACAGCCCCTTGCCTCTGACCTACGGTGGGGCCAGTAGCCTGGGCCATTGTCTTTGGCGAGTTCTCAGTGGGCAGCAGCATCTTGGAACATGGAGGGAGGAGGCTCTCTAAAGAGGGGCCAGCAGTTGCCAAGACTTCTGAAAAGACCAAAAAAATCCAGCAACCTCATGACGAAAAAGAACGAGTCCCAAATTTGACTTCTTCAGAGCTCCGGAGGAGCCACTTGGACCCCTGTCCAGACCCCCAGCTGTCCCAGGACCAAGTCGATGCCAAGGTGCCTGACAGGTGAGCTGTACGAGAAACACAAAGTGTCCTACTATTCACGCAGAACTACTCAGGCCCCCCGGGAGCCAGGTTTTCATCCAGCTCTTCTGCAAACAAAACAGAACAAAAGAGTAAATAAAAGGGTCTTAATTATGAAATTCTATTGTATGAACCCCAAATAGCCTTAAGAGAGGCCCTTTGATTAGCAGGTTCCTGAAGAAGAGCCACCAGCAAGCACTGTGAGAGTTCTCTACTAAGTTTGGAGGGTGCTGGGAAGATGATGATGCACAGACGTTTTTCATCCATCCATCCATCCATTCTTTCAACCAAAGAATGTTTCTTGAATAGCTACTGTGTATCTAGAGACCCAGGACATTGAACTGGAAATGGAGAAGGGAGAAGATGTGCTAATAATAAAAAGAGAAATAGTTCTGTCCTGATCAGGTAAATAGAGAAAATCTTTACTTTTCCTATCATTATGAAAATGTATAGCTGGGCCCTGGCTGGGTAGCTCACTTGGTTAGAGCATTGTCCAGATGCACCAAGGTTGTGAGTTTGATCGCTGGTCAGGGCACGTAGAAGAATCAACCAATGAGTGCCTCAATAAGTGGACAGCAAACCCCTCCCTCTCACTCTCCCTCCCTCTTCCTCTCTCTCTCTCTCATTAATTTAGAAAGCATAGCCTTTAATAATGTTTATGAGTACAGAATCTAGAATCTGCTGAGAGGAAAAATAACTTGCTTTTCTTTTACACTAGGGAAAGTAAAGAAAGAAATATAGCTGGTTGTTAATTTGAATCAACCATTAAATCTATGAGGTGTAGGGCTGCTAAAATGTGGTATTTATGTTTTGACACTAGGCTTTATAACTGAGAAACAACACAGACCCTACAGTGATTCAGCACTTTTCTATGCCCTCTGTCTTGAGCTTGTAGAAAATAGGTCACTTAAGCTGGAAGCTGCCCAGAGGGAAGAGGCTGGAAAGAAGCTTAAGAGCCAGCCTGTCTGGGGAGCCGAACATGGGGATGGGAGATGCTGACTCCAGGACAAGTGCTCCTGTTGCCCTGGTGTTAAGGGATGGCTAGGTGCCTCAGCAGTCCTGTGCCCGGAGACAACTGGGGAAGGGAAGAAGCGGGGCTTTTTCTGAGCTAATGCATGGACTCCAGGGAACTGTTAAGATTTCTGCTGTTTAAGGAATCAAATAGTTGGAAGCTCACTCACCTATTGAAAATGTTCCCCAGGATTAAACTGAAATGTTAAGCGGGGGTTTCTCCCAGGACAGAGAAATTCTGGGGCCAGATGATGCACTGCAGGGGGAGGCATCAGGAAAGAGACCCCACGTTTCTGCAGAATGGGAGCGTGCTGAGGGTCTGATGTCCCCCGTGGGGCACTGGCTGGCTCAGAGCCAAACCTAGGGGACAAAGCTGCTGCTTCCAGTCAGGCCACAGGGTTTGGGCACAATCTCATGCCTTCAGTTATTCTTTCGTAAGGAATGAAGAAACATTTGTGAAGGTACCAGTCTCTGAGTGCCCCTGGCCTTTCTGTTCCCAGAAAGGGGACTCAGAAACTGGTATCGTCACAAATATTTCACAGTCACTGACAAGAAATTCCCTGAGGAATTTCAGTTTGCTGATCCAGGCACCGGTTAGATTTCCAGCCAGGCCGAGGCCCCTGATGATAGGCATGGAGTAAAGCACGTCTAAGGCCTTGTCTTCTTTGTGGGACACCCACCATCCCTCTTTCTTACCAATTGAGGACGTGGCCAAGAATCACAAAGCAAGAAAAACCAACAAAACATCTGAGAACCCATAGCTGACGTCACAAAATGTTGCATTTGTTGTGTTTATTCATACCCTAGTAATTAAAAAAAAGCCTCCAAGCAACTTTAGATTGTTTGCATGTGGAATCTCTCAGGGCCCCATTCAGAACCCGTCCGCACTGATTCCCACGAGGTATCTATGCTCTCAGATTTAAAAAGCGACAACAAATAGTTTTATGTGGAAAAAGCTACCACAGATCGGCAAACTTGGAGCGGCAGGAAACGACAGGTGCCCACGAGAGGAGGGACAGAAACACCCCAGGAGGCCCAAGAACTCGAAGCCACCCACCTGGGCCGTTTACTGCCAGGGGGTAATAAAGCTCCTGGAGTCTTCAATCTACTCTAGAGTGAGCCGTTAGCTGGTGTTTTTATGGCTGATCCCGAGTCTCTAAGAGAAGGTACAATTATGTTCACTTTGTCTTGCTAAGGAAGTTGAAATATATTTGTTTAGGAAGATTTTTTGTCACTAAAATTCTAAAGTGTACTGTTCCAATGGTTAAAATTTCCAGTGTTGGGAGGTTTAGTCATCTAGAATGATTCATAGTCCAGGGTTCAGGGAAGCCTGGGGAGCAAATTTTCAGCTTAAACACAGGTGTGTTTGGAGTTTAAATCAGTTGACTTTTGGAGCTGTACTTCTTATCTCGAAAGGTATAATTTGGAGCTTCACACTGATCTTTGCGAATCGTATGAGTGTGACTCACATAGTAATGAGTCAGAACCATGGGACTAATTTTTCACTCGGAATCTGCATGGGCTTACAAAAACATGACCAAATGGATTTGGCGCCTCTCCAAATTAAAAGAAAAATTTAGAAATATAATTCAGTAGGCCCTCATATCTTTCTGGTTTGGTTGCTTATGTCCTTGAAATGCTGGGATTGGTTCCAGTGTAGGGACCCCTGACCACTGGTCTTTGGCTGCTAAGAATCCAGTCCCATCCTTATTCAGAGGAAATCCTGGTGGAAAGCTGAGCTCTGCCTCCCTTGTAGAAGCCAGTTAGGCCCAAGCATCTCTGCTAGCCCCCAAAGTATATGAGCATGTGACTCAGGATTGACCCAAGATTAGCCTTGGTCTTTGCCTTTGAATTCAGAAGCAGTGCTAATTATTGGTGAATTCTACACTATTTTAATAAGACAAGGGGAATGTCAAGGTAGGGGGAAATGAATGCCCTTGGAAAAAAGCAAAGAAAGCTTGTAGGATAGCCTGTGGGAGAGAGAGAGAGAGAGAGAGAGAGAGAGAGAGAGAGAGAGAGAGAGAGAGAGAGAAGCGCCCCCTAGTGTCAGACCTCGAGGTGAACCAAGGGTGATGAAGACAGTAGGGCCAGACACTCTGTCCTGACATTTATATACTGGAGTAAGACAGTCTGGATCCAGTGATGTAAAAGATAAACATAATTCTGATAACAATAGTAATAAAATATCTTAAATTTTTTGAATGCTTAATATGTGCTAAGGAATTAGTACAAATTTCTCATTTAATACTCATTATTAACATAGGTGGTAAAGCCTGTTCACGTCCCCATTTCAGCATCAGTCACGACTGCTGTATTGCCAAATCCAGGGGACATTTTTAAGTCCTCATCTTGACCTTTAGTGGCATAAAACAGACCGACCTCTCCCTCCTGTGGACGTTTGCCTCCTTTGTTTTCTGAGAACTGTATTCTTTTGGTAATTTCATTCTCTGGCCACTACTCTTGTCTTTTTTTGTCGGGATCTTCCATTATAGGTCCTCACACTCTCTATGGGTGACCCCATAATTTATAGTGCCACCTATATCTTGTTGATGCTCAAATAATAAGAATAACTGTGATTTATTGAGTGATTTCTGTGTTCTATGTTCTTTTCTAAGTGGCTTATGTATAACTCATTTAATGCTCAACATCCTAATGCAGGTCCTGTTATCATCTGGTTTTATAGACGCAGAGACAGAGAAGGAGGCGGTGCAAGGTCACAGCGCTAACAGGTGGTGGAGGCAGGATTCCAGACCAGGTGGTTCAGCACAAGAGTGTGAGAACAGGCCCAGAGGTTGTGTAGTAATGGGGGCTCTCTTTAAGGAAAAGAATACAAAATTACAAATAAAAAAATTAAGTAGAAAAAGTGAATATTTATTTAGAGTGAGGAACAAAATAACAAATTGCAAATTTTAAAGAGCTGTCTGAGGCTTCTACTTCTGGTAAAATGGAGTAAGAGTACCACATTTATTTCCTACCTGATACAACCACCAAAGAAGAGGTTACAAAATA